GAGAAATAGGCACTGAAAGCAATCTCAATTGTAGTTTTACCTCAAAAATGTATTACAACAATTTAAAGGCCATCTAATGTAGCCATGTATTTTAAAGGTTAAGGTTGGATTCAAGTGGAAAACTGTGTATAGGAGGGGGGGGGGGGGGGGTACGAAAACTCGCTACTCTAGTGGTTTTGGAACTAAATTAGGGAATTGCATTTGAAGTAAAATGGGGAACACTCTAAGTGGCAAGACTTGGGTCATTGTATCACTTATTTAATTGGCATGTCTATTTGTAAAGGCGTTTTCCCCAGTGTAATGGAGTCTCCTCAGAGTGGAGTCTTATTTTCCCCCACACTCCTCTTTAGTGCTTTACTGCATTGCAAGTGCAATTGACCTTTCTGCTAATGGATGATGAACCGGGATCTCTGACCTGGCAGGCGCACAAGCTAATTACTAAGTCGTTGGGCGCCTGACTGGAATATAATTAGAATAACTTTTGATATCGTAATGTTCAGTATGAACGTTTGTCATGCCAATGGTTAAGGGTCTGACATTAGTCGGTGCTCTTGCGATAAGCAGAATTACTAACAATGGTTGTTAAAACTGGTGTTCCCCTTCAAAAGGGCTTTTGGGTTTCTTGCTGCTGCCCAAAAAGAGTGCTGGAATTCAAGAAGCTTGGAACAGCAGTTAGAATGTATAAAATATGGCAACGGCGTGGGATTGTCCAATGAACTTAAATTATAATCAAACGTGTGAGGATTTATTTTTGTTGAAAGTCTACCTTGGTTACTGTTAAAAAATTGAACACGCAGAAATTATCAGCAGATCTATAGAATTAAAACTTACGCCTATATTCATTGCCGATAGAGCCTTTTCCTTCAACTCAAGAGTGGTGATACTTGGACCTAATGCAATGTACTTGTGAACACACTGAAAGACAAATGGGAGAATTATTACTATGAAGGCGCTAATTACATACAAGTAGTCTGGTGCCTACCTTCTCAGGAGCGATTTCATTTAGGACCTTGACACGTAGGATTTGACTAGAGAAACAGTTCTGGATTTGTTCAAGATTCCTAAAAAAGGCGGAGAGGAACAATTAGAATAGAGAATGATTGGCAAAGATCTTGCTCATCAGGTGTGAGTGGAGAAATAATCGCTTGTTATAAAAGCCCCGAATAGGAACGATTTCTGAAGTCAAGATGCAATTATATATGTAGCCAGGAAAGGTCCTATAATCTCCTCATAAGTCACTCCGAACACCTCTATTCCATAAAAATTAGAAGTAGACTAAATTGTCAACTCCATCAGCCAATTTCAATGCGATAAATTTATAATTATGGGGAAATTACTATTAATATTGTCCATTTGAGTAAACAGTATTCATATTACTCGTGCTCATATTCGACCTCCCTTCTCAACCTGCGACTGGAACAGGGGGTAGTTGTTGAAGGAAGATAATCGGCTTTTTCACTCTTTCACTCAATGATATCTCTTGGTTCCCATTTCTATCCTACCATGTTCCATTGTTCTTTATTTCCTTTTTATTCTCTCTTATCTTTAAATTGTACCCCCCCCCACCCCAATTAATTATTTCTTAGACCACACCTCCTACTATACTTTATAATGAGTGAAGTTTAGTTTATGTTTTGATACAATGAAACGAGTTCTGACGAAGCAATGAATGAATGTGAAGAGGAACATATTCATACCTCCTTTAGTAACAGACTCGGAGTTTCATAGTTTGGAGCCTGCACTCTGATTGGTCATGTGATTGATGACCTGTCAAAATTTAATTAAATGTAGCATCGTACTTGTTTAAAGCATTACTCATTAGCAAACAAGAGTGGTGAAATAAGACTAATTTCACATTCCATGAAATCTTGCTCACACAAGTGGGTGAGAGAAAAAGTTTGCCTCGAAAATTATCTCCATGTGGGATGCAAAACTGTGGGGACAATTGATTAATAGATATATCCTTCTATGGTGGCCGCAATAACTGATATAATTTTTAGTAATTTCACCAAGTTTTAACCGCAAATTTCAAATCTGAATAGCATGTGACTTACATTTGAAGATGAGTTAACCATTGTTGGGATGATCTCTTTTCTGTACTCAATCCCAGATGACAGCTATTTCCTGGTGGCCACCAAAGACCTATTCCATTAGTGAGTTCGTAGGACCCTCCTCCGCAACCAGATGATCCGTTTTCACTTCCACCTTCAATTTCCTCTTCTGTACTCGCCGCGGAAGATATTCCAGAGCTGGAAGAGCAGATTATCTGCGGTAGCGGTGGAGTGATTTTGACTACTGGGATTGCCAGGTCCGTTTGGGGAGTGGATGTAGAAGAATAGGAAGCACTGGATGATGAAATGAGTCCGAGAAAAGTCAGTGGTAGTCTTGCAAGGGTTTCAAAAACTCCGGATGGTCGCTGAAGGGGAGTTGAAGGGATTCCGGAGGAGTATCTAGAATTCCATTTGGAGATGGAACTATGTCCAATGGAGCTGCTAGCTGTAGAAGACTTAGGCTGGGAACACTTGGAGGCTAGAAGGAGACTATCAGAGCAAAGAAACGCAGAGATCTCACATGGAGCATCCACTGGGCGGTTGAATGCTTTCTAGAGGGGAAATTAAACAGAGAACTTGCTATTATTAATAATTGTGGATAATGTGCATGCTTGGTAAGAACGAAATACCATGCAAAATTTAAATTCCAAGTCCCTTTGTCTGTCAAGCTGACCGGTTTGTCAGTGACAAACAAGAGACATTATAGAGTCAAAAACCGAAGCCCAAATGAGGGCGTATTTGAGGTATGTGGACTCGTTATCTTCCGACCATGTTGGATGATGTTCTTGCATTGTTCGTCACCTGGTCCCATCAAATTTTAAACTGGTAGGGAAGTTTTGCAGGTTATATGAGCTCTTTTTCCCCCCAACTTAAAGGTCCAATTGAGAGGATTTTCTTCACGCTCTAGTAAAGTTAACCTTAATTTCGAAGACATCTATTTCCCTCGAGAGTTAATTACATTTAGGAGTTTCGCAAACAAAGGTTACTGAAGACTTAACAGCGAAAGGTTCTTTTTAATCTACCTATTAGCAAATACCATCTCTATTTTGACAGCTTGTAATGAGAGCTTAACTTCACCACACGCTAAGAGTCATCCATTAGCGTTAATGAATCACACCACGTTCGCCTCCAGTGTGTTTCTAAGTCACGATTCCACATTTTATACTTGCCTTCAAAATAGACTTACCTCCAAGATAAGAGGGGGGGGGGACTTCGAACGATTTTAGATCACAAATTGTTCTTTTTTTAGATTCAAATACCAAGAACAGTAGCATAAAATTGCAATTTTACATTTGAGGGAAGCAAGAGAAATCACTTAGCAGAAAGTTCAGTTAAGTGGAGGGGAAGATGAATATGCTGATGGTAATGAATTCAATTCATAGATTTGCGTTGCAAAGCATTTGCCAAAGTTGGTACCTCACATTACTAAATTCAAATTGTGTAAATTCCTCCACTGGTTTGATGAAAATTCTTTTTCTACGATATTCAGGGGTTATTGGCTGACATTTGGAACCAAGAGATGCCATTCGTTATGCTTTATTCAATTCATTACCAAATAGATGACGCGAGAAAGCGATCCTAAAGTATGTCTAACAGCTCATTGTTTTATGTTAGGAAGAAAACAAAAAGTTTAATTTTTTTTATTTACTAATGTGCAAAATCTATAATCATGATTTTTAACACGAAAATCAATGTTTCAAAATGATCGCTGATTGGTAGAACAGATGCTATTTAATAAACGAGATTTTTTTCAGTAATCCTTTCGAGTGTTATAAACCAATTTTCAAATTTTATTCTCCCTCTTATTCGTCATAGTAACGTTTCCGTTTCCTTTCCCCTTTTCGAAAGCCGTCCTAATAATCAAAATCCCCTGAAGTTTGGCCTGCTGATAAGATGTTCTGGCCGATGCTTCGTTTTCTATTTTTTATGTAAGTATTGGTCCCGAATCAATTATAGCATAATCACTTATCAAAGTTAACAATTATATTTAATTTTGGATTATTCTAATTGCAATAAAACCGAATAAACCACTTCGAAAAATTTAATTGAGGTTTTCAGGGATTTGAATTAACGTTTAAATATTGGATTTCATTTGGAGAAAGCAATTTCTGGATTGATTGAATTCTAATTATTTTTTTATTCATTATTGTAAAAAATAAAGGTAAAAGGAAAAACTGCAAATTTTTTCCCATCAATAAAATCTCCTTTGGATAATAACAGCTATTCGAAGGGCGTAGATACTCTAGTTGCAAGAAGTGAATTGATGATTTGACGTCTCATTCAAAGGTCAAATGCTATTCTTGGATAGATTAGTCGAGGTCAAAATTCAGATTATTCACCTTTGCGTCAGAATTAGTCAATGAGTGCATTATCTTCAACGTATCTTAAGCTCCACAGACGCAAGGACATTGTCGCAAAGGAGAAAAAAGTTTTTTTCAAGAGTTTTTCCTAAAAATTCTTTATGTGTCAGTCATTCGAATGGTTTTAAAGAAAACCAAATTTCCTCGTTATAGATATCATTTGTACTATTAGCAGATAAGAGACTTGGAATTGTGCCGAAGGGTCAGTGGATGCTGTTGAACTTGTTGACCACACGTCGATTGTGTCTCATAGACAGTGTTAATTAACTCATGTTTCTGCTTAATAAATGATATCCCAAGAAATTATCATAGTGTGATGCTGTTTTTTAATTGAACATTGCTTATGTAATGTTCGCGAAAAATCACGAGCTTAGAATCAGGCTGAAATCGAGTGATAACTTTAGGCAACGTTATATATATATATATATAATTCTACTTAGCGGAGCAAAATGGAGGGGAGAGGGGAATACAGAAAACAACCAATGTGGTTTGAATGCAATAGGCATGATCACACACTAATCATGAATTCAAAGAATGAAACTTGAGTTCTAAGGCACCGCAAAGTGGGCTCCGCCTTTTGCAACAAATTTCAAGTGAAGTATGTCATGCGGTAGGCTGACTTCTTTTCCACATTATTGATGACGCTTATTTAATAAATCGTTTGATTCTTTTGTTACTTCTTTTGTTCAGATGTTTTTTATTCAGGATTAAACTAGAAGTTACTTCAATTCACCGATAAACTGGGTAACAATAGCTTCAAGTTCATGTTCAAAAGCCATGGAGATGGCAACTTACGAATACGGCAGTTGCGGAGACATCACAAAGGAATTTCCTATAAGCTGATGACGAGATCGCCTTGTGATTTTCGTGTTGAAGAGTTGGTATAGGCATAGGCAACACACTTTTCATTCTAAAATCAAAATTCTGTGATTAGAATGCTTACTACTGCATTTTTCCGAAATCTAAACGCATCTCTACAATTCGAAAGTGAGTTAATATAAGCTAGAGCATTTATTTATTTATATCTAATGGCAGGCGTCTTGATGGTTATCATTAGCCCTTTAGTTGACTTCAGGTTTCACAGAGGGTAAGGAACATCAAATTGAAAAAGTCCAGAGGGGGGAACAGAAGAGTGTTTCAAAGATGTAAGAGACAAACACAAAGGTAGAACAAAGGTGAGGTGAGTACTGTGTAAATAGTCGAATATGGCATAGAGTGAGGTGATGGTAGTTT